ACTGTCGCCGCCCGGGCGAGGCGGTGGGGGCGCTGGGGCGGGAGCAGAAGCGGCCCCTGCGCGCGCGTGCGCTGGCCGAGGGGCGCCAGGCAGAGCTCCTCTCCGCCACAGCCGGGGCCGCCAAGCCTGACCCTCGAGTCAACCTGCCCCACACGATCGTGGCCCGAGCACTTTCGGCGCCACTGGGTTTGAGGGGTTTTTCTTATGGTCTATTCCTGTGATACATGCAACCCCCACCATTTTATTCTTGGGTGCAGACAAAAGTGACCATTTTCATCTGACGTGGCCACAGTTTATAGCTGTGACCAAACACAGGTGCATGGCTGCAGAGCGCTTCAAAAGCAGCCGGTCGGGTGAAAATCTGACCCCTTGTTGCATGAGGTGTCAAAGATATTTCAAAACGTAGCATCTTTTGCAATGTGTGTCTGCGAGCTCTGTTTCTATAGGAGATGCTCTGCAATATACAGGCAGCCTGGCAGCCGTCTTCCCTCTCAGTATTTGTAATGCCTTCTGGTTCCCTTCCTGTAACTTAGTGTTTCAGTACCAGTCTTGGCTACCAGGAGACCCTCAGGGGGCAAAGCTGCTCTTGGAGAACATGACCTGCGGCATTGTCACCTACGCCAAGCACAAGGCTGTGACCAGCATGGATGTGGTCTAGGCAGTGAGGTGCCAGGGTGGCACTTTGTACAGTTTTGCACCTTACATAGACTCGATGCCCACTGTCCCACAAAAAGCCTTGTAGAGACTCCACACCATCTCACCTACAAAACTGCAGTAACTACACCTGAACAGTGAGCACCCCCAGGCATCCCCTTCAGATTCACCTTTCCCCTTCTGCAAAGCAAGGCAGCAGCTGGAGATCCCAGGCAGGGGGAAAGTCCCTCCTGCTCTTCCTCTGGTGAAGGGAAAGGAGATGCCTCAGGCTGAAAACTCCCTGCAGCTTTGTTTCTTCCCAGCCCTGCTTGGCCCAAGCTCTCCAGAGGGGGTTTTGCTTTCAGAGGGGAAACTTGGGAAAAAATGGCAAACATGCAGCAGTTTTCATAAAAGGCCCCCATGTCATCTGCGTTCAATGCAGCCGTGTCTTAATGCAAGGCCTGTGTTGAAACCAAATTAGATCCAGTCTGATGACAAAGGGGCCTGTAGATGTTGGACTTTAGCTTTCAACTGGCCTGTTGTGGTTTAGCTCAGTGGAGTTCTCAAATCTTTTTGGATTTGAGGCCCCCCTCACTTGCAACCCCTGGCCCTGCCAGTGCTTACTCCCAGCCCCTGTTGGTACCCCTCCCTCCCAACCCACTGCCCCCAGGCCCCTCCTGTGTGGGTCAGGAGAGATGTGGAGTGGAGGGGGCATG